CTCAGACCAACAGTAAAAAGACCTACATGCATATTACCTACCCAGGGCAATGGAACCCTTAGATCAATCAGCCATGAGACTCCAGAGTGGCAGCATTCACATAGAGGAAAAGCTGGACAGACAGGGCACAGGGAAGAGATAGTCATAAGGACAAGAGGGTTTTTTTTTTTAATGGTTGAGGATGGTAACTGGAGCATAAAATCAAATGTGCATGAACTGGTGAATGCAAAAATTTGCTGGTTGTATAGTGCCTAAAGCATTTATCTGCTAACCAGAAAAATAGTGGTTCGAACCCACCAGCCACTCCTTGGAAGGAAGACTAGTCATTCTACTTCCATAGTGATACCAACTCAGAAACCCAAGGAGGGGTCGCTATGAGTTGGCCCCAACTTGACAGCAGTGGGTTTGGTTATTTTATTATTTATTTTGGTAAATTTGCACCCAAAACACAATTGTTTGTGCCACCCAAGAACTCTAGAGTAGCCTTTACTCTAACTCACTCGTGGCCATTGAGTCGGATCCATTGAGTTGCTATGAATTGGAATCAATTCAATGGCACCCAACAACACCAACAAAGGGTATCCTAGATTTACCCTAATAAAGCTTAAAAACAAGCCTCAAAAGGGCGAAGGTGAGGTATAAGTAACTCAACTGTCCCTCAGTAAAGATCAACAAAATCCAGAACTCCGTGTCTAGCATTCAATCAAAAATTACTAGGCATGTGAAGATGCTGTCAAATGTGACCCATGACTTTTAAAAAAAAAAAGTCTAAAGCCAAACAAATGACAGGGATACTGGAATCAGCAGCAAAAACTTTAAAGCTGCCATTGCAATGATACCCAGTGATTTAAAAGAAAACATGAACATGATGAGCTAAGAATTGGAAGATAAAAAATACCTAAGTGGAACTTTCAAGAAGTGAAAAACAGTATCAGGATGGACTTAACAGAAGATTAATCATTGTTTAAATGAAACTCAGTGAACTTGAAAACACAGCAATAGAAAGTATCCTAACTGAAGAACAGAGAGACAAAAGACTAAAAATTAATCAAAATTTAGTGACCTGTGAAACATTAAGTAATATAATAGCCCCATGGAGGGATAGCATAAGAAATAAT